AAAGAAATAAGGAAATGCAAAGAAGCCAAATGGAAATTTGTTCCCTCGGATTTCCATCCCGAAAAGATGGGACAGGAGGAATTAAAAGAGGAAAAAAAAAAGGGGAAAAAATAAAAGAAAGAAGGAAATGCAAAGAAGCCAAATGGAAATTTTTTCCCTCAGATTTCCGTCCCGGTGTCGTGCCAGGGAAGTCAAGGCTGGACAATAAATGGGAGTAAATTAAAATTTAACTGGCAATTTAAAGGCAATTACTGGGGGAATGCTGGGAACGGCTCCGGCTCTTCGGATTTGGGATGGAAACGTTGCTGGAATGGAGCTGCCAGCGCCGCGGGTCCACGCAGGGAGGCTGAGTCACCCACCCCGTGACGCAGAGAACCCTCGGATCCTCCGATTCCATGGAAAAATTCCCGTGGGTGGAGGCAGGGAGAAGCTGGGAATGAGCAGGGACACCCCGGGAAAAGGCTGGAATCCATGGGGGATGCTCCCCCGGAAGGACGGAGCCGTTGGAAGGATGAATTCCCAAAGTTCTCCCCGAAAGTTTTTCCCACCTCCTGGGCTCCTGCTCCTCGGTGTTTGATGGGATGATGCAAATGGAATCTCCACCTTGGAAAAATGGTTTTAGCGCGTCCCTGCTGGGTTCTGGGCAGGATTATCTGCTGCAGTTTTGAGTTTCTTCCCCCCCCCCCAAAAAAAAAAATTGGTGTTTGGGGTGGGAATTGCCTGGTTTAATGGAAAATTTCCCTTGGCAGGGGGTTTGGGATGAGAGGATCTGGAAGGGAATGATCCAACCCGCAGCGTTTTGGGATCCTGTGTGATCCCAGTTTTCCTGAAAAAAATTAATATCCATCATAAATTCCTGCTTAGAAACCATTCCCACTCCTGCTGAGCTCTGAGTCTGGCGCCCTCCAGACTCCGGGGATTCAGAATCCCTGGAAAACCAAAACAGGGAGCATGAAATGAGAGAAAAGAGCATTAAAAATCCGAGTTTTGGGGAGAACAAGGGGTTAATGCACATCGTTATTTTAATGCACATCGTTATTTTAATGCACAATCACGGGGAATAAAGGAGAGGAGCTGGACGCTCGAGTCCATGATCCAAATGATGAGTTAATGGGAATAAAAAGCAGCAATTGGAACATAAAAGAGGGAAGGGAGGCGGGAATGGTAGAATAAAAAGGGAGCGGAGCTTTTAGAAAAGTGAGGAAAGGAGGAGGAGGCGCCTGGAATATCCAAACTGGACCCGTGGGTGAAATCAAGCGGATCCATTGAAATATTCCGAGGAATAATTGCAGGGAGAAGACACAAACGCTGTCAGCTCGGTTGGGAACTTCCATGGATCAGGAAATTGGGAGAGTAAATGGGTGAGGGTGACAAAATCACGGCCAGGGAATTCAGCGGGAGCAGCAATCGTTGGCAATTTGTGGGAATAACAGACGGGATTAGAGGGAAATGAAGGAAAATGAGGAGGCGTCACCCGGAAGATTTGGCGTTGGATCCAGGCAGGATGGGAGTTCTGTCCTCGGGAAAAGGGGGAAAGAGGATTTGGGGAATGATGGAGAGCTCGAGATCAACTCAGGGAAGGGATAATCAAAGTGGGAGCGCTTGGGAAATGAAATGGGAGCTCAATTCCCACCAGGATCCTCCCTCAGGTGCCTGAATGGATGGGAACGGTGGGTGAGAATTCCCTAAAATGACGGGTGAGAATTCCCTAAAATGACGGGTGAGAATTCCCTAAAATGACGGGTGAGAATTCCCTAAAATGACGGGTGAGAATTCCCTAAATCTCCCAATAAAACCAGTGGGGAGTGAACGTGGCAGAGGTAGCCCCAGGTGGGTTGAATTCCAGGATTTATGGATCTTCCAGCATTGTCCCAGCTTGGATCCTGGCTTTTGCAATTTTAGGAATGTGGTGAGGGACCAAATCCCAGCTTTGCCCTGCACCAGCAGAATCCCAGGATATTTCCAAAAGGAAGATTCCTTTGCTTTGCTCAGATGGAAGTCACCACTCTGTGGGAATTATTATCCCTAAAATCCAGGGAAAAACAAGATGCTGGCATCCCTTTGCACGCAGCAAACTTTGCTCTATTCCCGGATGGATTCGGGCCATGGATTCAGGCGTTCCCTACAAAACAATTCCATAAATATCCTCAATCCAACACCTGGCAGTGCTGATCCCAGGTCTTGCAGCACGTTCCGGCCTCGAGGCTTTGCCCAAGTGCTCAGAAGGTGGTTTATAATTAATAATAATAATAATAAATGCAATAACTAATTGGATGAGGGCCTTTTCCTCAGGGAGCAATTCCCACTCGGGATTCCAGGCCCTGTCAATAATTCGTGGCTGTGACCAGGAATCAACGGGGACTCATTTCTTTGGACAACCTTGGAAATTTGGAGTTTGGGCCCTTAATTTAAGGGCGGGACTCGATGATCCCGGTGGGTCTTTTCCAACTCCAAGTGTTCCATGAATCCATGATTCTGAGAGTCTTTGGAGCTTGGAGGCATTTCCACTTGGGGTGAATACACAAAGGCATTAAAAACATTAAATAAACGTATTTTTGCTGTGTTCCTTGATGCAAAATCATGGAACCACGGAATGGTTTGGGTGGGAAGGGACCTCAAAGCCCATCCAGTTCCAATCCCAAGGGCGGGGACGCCTCCCATTGCCTTGGAAACTTCCAGGGATGGGACATCCATAATTTTCTGGGAATTCTGTGCCAGGGCATCGGGAACCTCACAGAGAGGAATTTCTTCCACAGGCCGTAACCCCGAACCTCTGGCTGCGATCCCTGATCTCCAAGCTGGTTTTCCAGCAAAACCTCCAGGAACAGGGATTTTGGGAGCAGCTCCGAGTTCCCATGGCCTCTTCCCACCCTTTCCCAAATTCCTGGCCTGGGAGAGGACCAGGGCCCTTTTCCACACCCAGGGTTTGGGAAGGCAGGGAAACGTTTTCCAACTCACGGGAGATCCCGGCGAGCTCGGTTCTCCTGGCTCCCCCTGCAAGGAAAGCGGGGATGAGTTACCCTGGGGAAGAGCCGAGATCCCTCTGGAAACAGGGAATGCTGTAGGAATTCTGGAAAAGGGACAAAGAGAGCTTTGGGCAGCTGGAAGGACAGTGGGATATCCCAAATATCCCAGCTGGAAAACAACGGGTTCCACTGGCTCTACATGGAGCTTGGAGAACATCTGTCACCTCCCTCCTGGAATATTGACATTCCAGCAGCTCCTTAGTGACCATTCCAGCCTGGAAAACCTCCCAGAGCGCTCTGCTCCTTTAAAATCTCCAGGATTTTCCTGGAAAAGTGCAGCTGCTCCTGCTTTTCCAGAGTTTCAATCATTCCAATCGGGAAATTTGGGGAGGGAATGAGGGATTATATCCCATGGGAAAACCGAGATGGGATTTTCCACCTCAGTCCTGGCAGGAGATGCCTCAAGTTTGGAGCTCACCTTCCGTCCCACGGGTCCTCTGCTCCCGAAAAGTCCCATCATTCCCTTGGATCCAGCTTCTCCTTTGATTCCCTAGAATGTTAAAATCCCTGTTTAATACATTGTGAGCACCTACCCTTGGGAATTTATCCCTGGAAAAACCCATGGAGATAACGCAGATGACCAAAAGCACCATTTCCATATCAAAAATTCCATCCCAGGGGTCGGGAAGAAAGCCACCAGTGCCAGGACTTGGCAGGGACCTCTGGGAATTGTTATGGAAAAGATTCCTTGCCCAGTGGTGGGGATTGCAGGAGGACAGGCGGGAAGGGGGTTTGGATCCTCGGGATGAGCTGTATCTCTGCCAAAAATCCAGGAGAAGACCCTGCTGGGCTCACTGGGGCTGGAGATTCCACTCTCCAAAGTCATCCAGATGTTTATCCAAGAGGAGACGTTCGTGCGTTATTTTATGGATTATTTTTTCATGGATTATTTTTTTTTCCTGGAGTATTTTAAAGGGTTGTTTCTTACGGATTAATTTTTACGGAGGAATTTTCATCAGAGTCCAATCGGATGAACGAAATACATGGAATTTCATCCGACTTTAAAAAAAACATGGGAGAATCTCCAAGAGTTTCCTTCACTTTGGGGACCCGAGCAGCGGGATCAGAAAAGGGCGGGATCTGCCTCTTCCCAAGGGACGTGCCCACCTTGGATCAGGCAATTCCCACCCGGAATACACCGGGATCCAGCTTCCCGTGGGAAATAACCGGAGCTGGATGTGTCACTGCTGCTGTAGGAAATTCAATTTATTCAGTCCTGGCTCAGGCTTGTGAGGCCAAAGCCATTTCCATGCGATGGAAATCGGGATGAGTAGGACACGGAGACGGGAGCTGTGACTCAGCCGGGAGTGGGAGAATTCCATGATTCCTCCCAGGAAAAGGGGGCTGGGTTGGGACCTGGGATGAGCTCCTGGGGAGCAGAGGGAGAGGGAGGAGCTCTGCCACCACCCAGGGGACGCAAAGGGACACAGGAGCCATCCAAGCCTTCCCGAGAGCATTCCAGAGGCTCCAGGAGCACGGATGGCTCCTGGAGGGAGAGGAGGGTGCGGGAACGGAACGGTCGCTTTTCCCAGTGGGACACCCGAGGAAATGGGATGCGCTTGGGGTCCTCAAACCCCTTCCCAGCCCCCTCCCCTCCCTGTCCATGCCAGAGCTGGGTGTGGCTGTGTTTTCCAGCAGAATCCCGGGATGGTTTGGGGTGGAGGTGACTTTAGAGATCACCCAGTTCCGATCCCAGCCGTGGGACACCCTCCACGATCCCAGGTTGCCCCAAGCCTCGTCCAGCCTGGGACTTCCAGAGGCATCCATAATTTTTCTGGGAATTCTGTTTACCGCCCTCAGTCCCTTCCTCGCAGGGCTTTGGGAAATTCCCACCTTTTCTCCTACGGGTCCGTCCTCTCCCTTCTCGCCTTTGTCTCCATCAAAACCTGGCGGTCCCTGCTCACCCTGAAAGGAAAACCAGGGATTGGTGGATTTGAATGATTCCACCTCTCCTGGAAGGATCCAGCCGGATCCAAGTGCTGCTTCCCAGCGCCGATCCCGAGCAGGGAAGGGACAGCTTGGAAAGCCAAACTTACGGGATCTCCTTTGGTGCCTTTGTAGCCCTGGGGTCCAAAACTCGTCACGGATTCACCCTGGAGCAAGGAGAAAACAGGGAAAGGGATCCACCGTGAGCTGGTGGGAATGCAGCGATCAACAACAGCATTGATTGTTAGGGTTAATCACCCTTAATTAGAAGCTGGATCATGAACATGCCCAGAAAACCCCAAATCCGGAGGTTTCCCAGTGACCTCCTGAAAACGTTGGAGCCCGCTGGCGTTATCCCAGCGCATTTCTCCGGGATGGAAACGGACAACGGGACCATTCCCTGATCCCAGCGCTGGGACACATTCCCTGAGCGCCCCTTGGCTTTGTCACTCAGCGGGTCGGGATCTCCAGAGGATTTCCAGCTCTTCCCAGCGGCCGCCGGCAGGATTGGGAATGAGCTTTCCGTGGTTTCCTAAGTGATGGATGCAGCTGGAGCTGAGGAACGGCTCCAAGGTCACCCCTTAGAGGGAGGTTCTGGGAGGTGACACCCCAAAGTGTCACCCCTGGGAGCCACAGGGACCCCACGGACACATCCGTGCCGAGCTCCTCGGGGAGTGCAATCCCGGCCATCCCAAGGAATGTCTCTGCTCTGGAGAAGGGACGGTCGTGTCTCCAAAGGCGGACAGCCGGGCTCCCTTTGGGAAAAAATTCCCTTCACTCAGCTCCCTTCAGGGCAAATATTCCCAGTCTGGGTGATTGTGCCTTGCTGGGGTTTCACCAGCTCTGCATGCCTCAACATTCCCAAAAATCTGGCGTTTTTTGGACTCTGTCCGAGCCTCTCCACATTCCGGTTTCATACACATTCCCGCTTCCCGGCTCTCTAGCAGAGGCAGGATGGGGCTCAACAAATTTTGGGGATAGAAGGGAGACTAAAAATCCTGCAGTTTAATCCAGCCCTGGGATCCATGGAGTTATTCCCACGTCGATCCGGGGAGAAGGAGATGGAAAATGAAGCTGCAATCAGGCGGAACAATCCCAAGCCGGTTTTTCCCCTCCGGCTCCCGTTTTATCTCCGATTCCACCTCGTCTTTTACCAAGGCATCCTTTGGAAAACTCATCCCGCTCATTCCTTCGGCTTGGGAAGAGCTCCGAGGCTTCCTCACAAAGCAAATTAAGAATTGATTGGTCTCCGGGGCGGGCGAGCTCCTTTCCAGAGGAGCTTCCTCAGAGACAAATGGGCCTTAATCACGGAATATTGCGTGACTCAAAGGGCGGCATCATCACGGAGCTTTTCCAAAATCTCATTTTCCAACCAGCCATTCCGGCCAGGAAGGGACTTAACAAAACGCCGGGCACGAGTTCAGCGGTTTCTGAGCATTTTCCAGGAGCACTTGAGGAGTTATTTTCCCATTACCTGTCAGGAGCCGGCTCGGGCTGGTGGAAATTAGGTTTGGCTTTGGGGTCAGCTGCTCATTCCAAAAATCAGGGGGAATTTTCTTCCTCTCTTAATTCAGGAGTTTTGTGCCCCGGAAAATCGTTCCCAAAATGACTTTTGTTAAATTTTTTTTTTTTTTATTATTGTTGTGCTTTTGTAGGATCCCATCAAATCCATCCCACAAACATCAGCTCTGAGAGATTGCGAGGATGGAAGCAAAAAATTGGGATTTAAATTGGTGGAGACCCCCAAAAAGGAGGGGGAGAATCCAGGTGTTGTCTCCATTTCACAGGCACAACAAGGAGAGGATGGATCCAGGTTTTTCTGGGAGCCACACTGAAAGGAAAAACCCCCAAAAAACTGGGATGTCCTTACTCGTTCTCCCTTTGGTCCCACAAGTCCCCGATCACCCTAAAAACAGGAAAAGAGAGGGAAAAAAGCTGAATTATTCCCTTTTTATTGCCTCTTGTGCCGCTCAGGCCACTGATCCCACTCCAAGGCACTAAAATCTCTGGGAGCTGGAAGTGAGATCCTCTGGACACGCTGGAAAACCCTCAGCTCGCCATGAAATGATGTGGAAAAACCCAAATTTATGGCACTGACAGGGAATAACACCCCAGAGGACTGAGATGGTTTTCCTGATCCATGCTCAGCACAAAGCGGGATCGCCGCCGGATTTCCCATCCCAGTGGGATTCAGCACCTCCATCCTGCAGGGGTGGCATCCCAAAAATGAAGGATTTCCCACATTTCTCCCTCAAATCTTTTAATGGAATCCGTATGGAATAGGAGCTGGAGTGCAGAGCACACGAGGCTGATCCAGGGGCTCTCTCCATCCATTCCCAGATCTGGGATTATTCCCAAAGGCTGATCCAGGGGCTCTC